GTTATATCTGCAAAACTGAATTTATTTTAATACCCGGATAATGAGAAATGCATTTTGAGTGCCTTTTCTCGTTATAACTTATAACTCATCTCAAAGTCTACAGTATTTTCTATTCACAAACTCTTCTATCATTCAATTGTAGAACAAATTTCAGAGTTTAGTTATTTAAACAAAAAAATATTTACTTTTAATTAAATTCACTAAATATTTAGTTAAAGCCATTGTTTTGTGAAATTAATTACACATAAAATGGCAATCAATTGTTTAAGGAGTAGTGAGGGGTCTGTACTATAAAATCTCAAGTATTTTACGATAGCATACAATAAAAATCTTTATTAAGCGCTCGAAAAGCGAAATAAAATAAAATAAAAATGAAAACGAGAGCAAAACCAATGAAAAACAGCACTTACTTTATGTCTGACAAAAGTGTCGAACTCTATGAGAGAGTAACCGAGCGATCCGTCGCCAAACACCACCACCACATCCGAGTCGGGTCGGCACAGCTTAGCGCCGATGGCGAACCCGGCGCCCACACCCAGCGTACCGAACGCTCCCGGATCTAACCAACGCAACGGTCCCCGCGGTCTCAGTATATAAGCGGCCGATCCGACAAAGTCTCCGCCGTCGGCCACAATAATCGTGTTGTCGTCCAAAGAGTCGTCCAAATCGTGCAAAACCTGAAGCCATTGAAATAAATAGTTTAATAAATTGGGCAAACATTTCAAATGTGATTCGCAAATACCTTCAATGGGTTGAGGTGTTCGTCGGGAATGTTTTGGGCCTGACTTCTGGCGTTCTTCTCCTTCTCGGTCTCCCTCTCCCGCAAAGTGCTGACCCATTGGGGATCGACTTTCAAAGTGCCCAGACTTTGGGCCAACTCCACGAAAAATTGAGCGGAATCTGCCTGCACTGCGAGCGCCGGATTCCAGAATAGTTTGGCGTTTTTGCAGAGTTGCTCTTTGCTTCGGTTGACGGCAATCACTTTGGACTTCTTGGAGAACGTGCGGCCGTAGCCGAGCCTGAAGTCGGCCACTCCTCCGCCCAGAATCACTACATCGGCGTCGCGAAGGGCCTCACGTCTGGCCTGTTTCATGTTTATGGGCGACGCCTTTCCCAACAGTCCGCGAGACATACCGCCCAAATACACCGGAATACCCAACGACTGGTTCGCAAATGTCATCACAATTAAAAATACAATATAATTGAGTGATGAAAGGGAGGACTCACTTCAATGGCCGCACGTAGTTTGTCGGCGCCGACGGGTGGCAGTACTGACTGCGAGCCCAGTATAATGAGAGGCTTTTTAGCCTTAGAGAGCATTTCAGCGGCTGTGGACACATCGGCTTTGGACGGGAAGGGAACGTCGACCGGCACGGGATGTGTGGGAAAATCCTGGTCGAAAGCGCCGGCGAACAGATTTTGGAGGTAATTATTGAGATACCAATTGACAACTTTGCCGACAATGCCTTTGCCGGTAGAACTGCCGGCGATCTCCTTCTTGATCACCTGAAACGGATACAACACATCGATCGGTAACTCCACGAACACCG